AGTGGAAGCTCTTTTAAACGTTGTCACAATTCTTTTGGGGGGAGGGGGAGTGGAAGTAAAAAGACATTGACCCCCCCCCCACCCCTGGATAGGACAGTGATACCTGTAGTCGGGCACTATATGTGGCCTATTTTCAAGCAGTGAAGAAGTGTCCGCATGGTTGCCCTCAAGGCTGATGAACTCTGCTCAATATGTTTTCTTTAGTAAAATTCCAATCATCAGGTATACAGGAAAGTCCGGTGCTCTTCAAAATGATTTATCACTCAATGAATGAATGCATGAATGAATGAATCACTCAATCAATCAATCAGTCAATCAATCAGTCAACTATATTTGTGTCTATTTAACAAGCAGACAGAGGAGCGGCGACTAAAAGCTATCTTCAGACAGCTTCACGAGCCCGCTGCCCCCATTCACAAGGGCTCACGGCAGCACAGCGATAGCTAGATTTACATATAAATGAAAAAAAAATCAGAGAGAAAAATTTACATCAATGTAAGGAAGAAAACGAAATATCATTTAGAAACAACAGATTTGAACACTAGAAAAACCAACAAACACAAAAAACTGTGAGAAAATATTCAAAATAAAAGAAACAAACATATACATATTATTAACCAATAGCATTTACAAATTTTAAGCGTAACTTGCTTGATGAACAACAATACAGACCAAAGTTAGTGAATGTGCAATGATTGAGAAGGGAAGGCAAGGTATGGCACTTGCGTTGCTTGTCTTTATAAAGGTCATAATTAGGTAAGCCTATAATGTCATTAGTAAGGCAAACTTTGACAAATCCTTTTCGTAAGACAGCTCAAAGCCATAATACGCTGCAGAGGACAACAACACGACGGCTGCTTAGCATGAAATTGATTCCCTCACAATCGGGGGACATGTGACATCACACAGCGACGTCATCACCTCGTGACTCTTGCATCACTCGTCCTGAAGCATCTGGGCGCTGATGGTGCAGTTTTCGCGTTTGATGGTGCATCTAACAATTTCGCCTTAAAACAAGTGAGGGCTGCGGACATTACACGGGTCCATGTGGTACACTCGTGCATATCGAGTGCAGTTCACGGCGTTCGGTGGGGGGGGGGGGGCAGTGCATGTTCCGGTGCAACCCTTCAGCCCCATCTGGTTCGGCCCTTACTACTTCACCATTTGACCTCTGATGAAGGGTCAAGTGGATAACAAGAAATTTATTTTCTTGCCAGCCTCAAGAGAGCTGTATAGGAAAGAAAGGGGTGGTATACTCATGCGTGTGCGTGCAGCTTTGCAAGAGTGGGCACGCAAGCGCCGGCTGCATGCCTCCGGCACCTTCATTTGCCAGCCACTATAACCTGCTCGGCTGCGATTGTTGTCGGACGGGTGGTATTGAAGGTAATTGAGAGATGGTTAGGATCGATAAGCGTAAGAAAGGCACGAACGTCGGCCCTATCACGAGTCTCGCACAATTTTCATTGCGTCTACGATTATCCCGCTTCGTTCCGACTCTAATTCAATGAATGAATAGTCTGTCTAATCAAAAAGTTCACGCTGAATTACTGAAAATACTGCGGTACACAACAGGTCCCGTGCTGAAAATGACGTCTTAGGCTGAGATTGGCCGTAATACAAAAATTCCAGCCAATCGTCACAATCGACGCATATTTAGCAATGTCGTTCGATCAATGGCGAAACGGAATTGCGAACTAAGCTTTCTCAACTTGCCGGAAGGGCCTACCAAATTTGTAAAAGAGGGCACACGCCAGCGTACAGACTTCGGAATAATGTTACACACGGGAGTTATTTAACGTGTACGTACTGCGATTGTAAGGAACCACCGTGTGCCTATGTGCGCTGTGGTTCTTTACATTTGGCGCCCATTGAAATGCGGCCGTTGTGGCCTGATACCGAGCCCATGCCTTCGAGCTTCGCAGCACTACATGATACTTGCTAAAGTATATATGTCTTGGCGATGACTCAGACGCGAGCATCCATGGTCCTTATTAGATGCGGAGCAGCTCTTTGACTGGCCTGTGTAAGGGTCCCTCCTCGCACTTGCCGGGACACCTGCCACACACAAACGGGAAGAAACGAAGCGAATCGGCGACGCTATTTGACCCATCGATTCGGTGCGGCAGGGGTCCCGGCACTTGCGTTGTGGCTGTGCGGGTAGCGCGTCGAAAGGCCCTAACACTGCCCCTCCGTGCGTCCATACGAACGCACCACAACCCACTTTCCTCGCCGCCGGTGTTGGAGCGGTGTCAAGTAGGTCACGCCTCAACTGCGCGTTGACGTCACGCTCCCCTCACATTGCGCGTTGACGTCGCTTTCTTCCTCGGCGGCCACGCACTCGCCGCAGCACCCGTAGCTGCCGCCTCGTTCATTCTACCGCAACACCTGCCGCTACCACCGCTCGCTACGAACACGCAATAAACCTGACGCGCGCCTAAAGTGCGCGTTGCAACATGTCTGTAGGTGGCACCCCTCTCTCGCTTCGCTCTATCTACCGCTCAGAACACTCGAGCCAACGCCGACTAAATTTCAAGGCTGAAAGGCTGCCGCAGTGACGTCAGAGGTCGGGGCCCAGTTGCCCAACTGAGCATGCTCAGTAAGACTTTTTTATCCACATCTTTTATTCGGCCCAATCTAGCAGCAGCAGCTGCGAGAGCGGGAGCGTTGGTTCTCCTAAAACGTGAACGAAACACAGGCTTTCCGCCGCGTTCGCGGCGTAACTGTGCCCCCACCCTGTGACGTCACTGCGGCAGCCTTTCGGCCTTGAAATTTAGTCGGCGTTGCTCGAGCACACGTCAAGTGGTTGGTAACACTTGTTTGGCCCGTTTACCTGCGATGCAGAGGACGCCGGATGACGACGCTCTTCTACGCGCGGAACCACTACGCCGAAGCGATTAGATGTACGCCAGCCATCGCTTCAAACGAATCTTCCAGCACGCACCGAAGCGCCCGCGTTAGTGTCGTTCAACCCGATTGATTGATATGCTGATATGTTGGGTTTAACGTCCCAAAACCACCATTTATTATGAGAGACGCCGTAGTAGAGGGCTCCGGAAATTTCTACCACCTGGGTTTCTTTAACGTGCACCTAAATCTGAGCACACTGACCTACAGCAGTTCCAACCCCATCGGAATTGCAGCCGCCGCAGTCGGGATTCGATCCCGCGACCTGCGGGTCAGCAGCCGAGTACCTTAGCCACTAGACCACCGTGGCGGGGTGCCATTAAACCCGAGACGCGACCCGTGTGCAACGCTGCTGCTTCGCATTCCATCAGGGTTCCCTTTGGAAGGTAGTGTGGAGATTTATGTATAGAGAAACATAAAACTTCATAGGATTGTGTAAAGTTTCATGCGAGTGTGTTTACAAAAAGCGGTTAACGATTTAGAGTACTTAGTACTCTACTAAGGGAGAGCATAAAGCCATCCCTATCAGGTGATTAAGAAAACACTGTTATATTCAATTTGGACCGCAATTGAAATCTGTATGAACTTTGAATTACTGGTTCACCTGTGTTTTCCTAATGTTTATCGGGTGTTCATCTGCTTTATATCTGTTCTTTAGCGTTATTTCCTTGAATTCATACTCTCTTCTCTATCCTTTTGTACGATTACGTGATATTTATTTCACCTAATTTGTTTCACGATTATCTATTTTTGACTCTGTAAGCTTTCTGCTGTTTTTTCGATGGTTTGCTGCTCCGCCTCGGTTGCGTCTAATGCCAGGTACTGGCGTTTCACTCCCACTTTTTTTTTTCTCTGGATCTTTGCCAAACTTCCGACGCTGACGCTTCGCTGTTGTAAACGAATTGCCTCCTCGGCGACGCTGGCACCGACGGGCGAGTACCTGCTATAGCATTCGAAATGTGCAGCCTGCTCGGCTAATGTGTATCAAACGTGGGGTCTAACCTCCTTGAGTTCACTGCGGTGGAGTAGCGGTAACGTTGCTCAGCTTCTCACCCAAAGGTCGGAGGTTCGATCCCAACTGCGGAGTCGCATTGTCCATGTAGGCGAAACGGTAAAAGCCCGTCTACTGTGCGATGTCGGGACACGTCGATATTTGGAGTCCTTCTTTACGGCATGACTCGTAATCGAATCGTGGTTTTGGGACGTAATAAACGAATAATTATTACTGTTATCAAACCGGGTACCTGCTTGGTGTCAACGCGAGACATAACACGATGACAGGGCGGTCCCTTAAACTGCGCCGCAACGAACAGGAATGCAAAGACGAAATAACGAGTGACAGAAGTTGAGTCGATAGTATTTACCGACCGAACTTCAACAGCACCTGGACGTCAAAGCACGTAGGCCTGAGTGGTGGGAGAGATTCAGTTCGATCACACAGAACGAACAAAGGAGAGAAAGAGCACGACATTCGTGAATCGGGCACCGCGAGTGGCCGTGGCAATCAGCTGGCTCTGCTAATTAGCTTAATGAGAAAGTCGTTGAGACCCTTCGGCAGTGGCGAAAGAGGGCGTTCTGAAATTCATTTTTCAGATGCCGTGAGAATGGTCAGCACCTCTTTACCGAAGTGTAATGCAACTACTTTTGATATTGATATGGTTGAGTTCATCTTTCTTGTCTCTTTGGAAAGACAGTGTGCACTATGTGGCGGGGATCATCCAACGGCGGCAAAAGAATGCCCTAAAAGGCTTAAGAAAGTCCCCCAACGGGGAAAAGAACAGGTACAACAGCTTAGACACGAAAATGGACAACGATCTCCAGGAATACTGAAGCGTCGGTGGTTCAGCACCGAAAGGCAGGATATGGATTTAACGGAGGGGTCCGACACGGGATCACGCTCCGGATCTCGATCCAGTTCCCGCTCGAGATCAAGGTCCAGATCGAATTCCTGAGACCACTTCAGCCCCAAAGGCAATCGGCAAGAAGAAAGCAAGACGAACAAGAACAAGAAGCTCAAGAAGACATCGCAGCAGCAGCAGCAGCAGCAGCAGCAGCAGCAGCAGCAGCAGCAGCACAGCAGCAGCAGCAGCAGCAGCAGCAGCAGCAGCACACAGCAGCACAGCAGCAGCAGCAGCAGCAGCAGCAGCAGCAGCAGCAGCAGCACAGCACAGCAGCAGCAGCAGCAGCAGCAGCAGCAGCAGCGCAGCAGCAGCAGCAGCGCAGCAGCACACAGCAGCAGCAGCAGCAGCAGCATCAGCGCAGCAGCAGCATCAGCAGCAGCAGCAGCACAGCGCAGCAGCAGCAGCAGCAGCAGCAGCAGCAGCAGCAGCAGCAGCAGCAGCAGCATCAGCAGCAGCAGCAGCCGCAGCAGCAGCAGCAGCAGCAGCAGCAGCAGAGCAGCAGCAGCAGCAGCAGCAGCAGCTCAGCACAGCAGCAGCAGCAGCAGCTCAGCAGCAGCAGCACAGCAGCAGCAGCAGCAGCAGCAGCAGCAGCAGCATCATCAGCAGCAGCAGCATCAGCAGCAGCAGCATCAGCAGCGCACAGCAGCATCAGCAGCATCAGCATCAGCAGCAGCAGCAGCAGCAGCAGCAGCATCGCAGCAGCAGCAGCAGCAGCAGCAGTCAGCAGCAGCAGCAGCAGCAGCAGCAGCACAGCGCAGCAGCAGCGCAGCAGCAGCAGCAGCAGCAGCAGCAGCAGCAGCAGCAGCAGCAGCGCAGCATCAGCAGCAGCAGCAGCAGCAGCAGCAGCGCAGCAGCAGCAGCAGCAGCAGCAGGCAGCAGCAGCAGCAGCAGCAGCATCAGCAGCAGCAGCAGCAGCATCAGCAGCAGCGCAGCAGCAGCAGCAGCAGCAGCAGCAGCAGCAGCAGCAGCAGCAGCAGCAGCACAGCAGCAGCAGCAGCAGCAGCAGCAGCAGCAGCAGCGCAGCAACAGCAGCAGCAGCAGCAGAAGCAGCAGCAGCACAGCAGCAGCAGCAGCAGCAGCAGCAGCAGCAGCAGCAGCAGCAGCAGCAGCACACAGCAGCAGCAGCGCAGCAGCAGCAGCAGCAGCAGCAGCAGCATCAGCAGCAGCAAGCAGCAGCAGCAGCAGCAGCAGCACAGCAGCAGCAGCACAGCAGCAGCAAGCAGCACAGCAGCAGCAGCAGCAGCAGCAGCAGCAGCAGCAGCAGCCGCAGCAGCGCAGCAGCCAGCAGCAGCAGCAGCAAGCAGCAGCAGCGCAGCAGCAGCAGCACAGCAGCAGCAGCAGCAGCAGCAGCAGCAGCAGCAGCAGAAGCAGCAGCAGCAGCAGCAGCAGCACAGCAGCAGCAGCAGACAGCAGCAGCAGCAAGCAGCAGCAGCAGCAAGCAGCAGCACAGCAGCAGCAAGCAGCAGGCGTTTCTGTGCGTGAAAGTATAGCGGCAGCAACCCTCGTAGCCCGACGCGCGGGGTCCATTTCAACTGCGCCAAAAAGAGGAGAGACATTGGCGAAGCTATAGCTGCCCACGGGAACTGATAGCTTTCTGTTTCACGTATTTGATCGTTGCGTACTTTTCTTTTTACGCATACAGGCAGCACTAATAGGTGTTAGTTTGTTTGAACTTTTGTTTGTTGGTTGGTTTATCTGTAAGAGGTTCTTAACCAAGAGAGAAAACTAAGAAATGACATTTGACTAGTCGTACGCGCGGTTGACTACGCTCAATAAGCAGGAGAGGAATAAATGTAAAAAGAAGCTAAAACAAAAATGAGATGTAGTTAACGTACCGAGTTGTAGACCTATAGTGATTATATACAAGCGATTGTTTGTAGTATATTAGGTTTAAAAAAAGTTGCTACTGCACGCATAGGTTTCTGGAGAGGCAAATGTCAGGTTACAATGGTATGGTATGTGGGGTTTAACGTCCCAAAACCACCATATGATTATGAGAGACGCCGTAGTGGAGGGCTCGGAAATTTCGACCACCTGGGTTCTTTAAACGTGCACCCAAATCTGAGCCCACGGGCCTACATGTCCGCCTCCATCGGAAATGCAGCCGCCGCAGCCGGGATAATTAGGTGACAATGCTCAGCTCCATTAACTGACCTATGTCGATGAGAAGCGAAGATTTTGCATAATTGGGAGGATTTTAAGTCCCTCATTGACCCCTTTCATATATGTGTTTTTGCGCACTTCAGCCGTGGCTACTTACACTTGCAACGTTCTCCCGCGATTCCTCCACGTACAGACGGGATGAAAACTACTCCTTACTGCCAACACCAAAAAGGTCGAACACCGTGACAGATCAGTTCGAGACAGCCAGGCAGAGGCTGGTAGGTAGGGGGCTTCAACCTCGGCAACAAGTTAGCACATCATTGGGCATGTGGTCCAGACGCATGATCCTGCAGTTGTCGCTTTGAGGAATCGGGCCGTTACACCCTTCGGACTTGTCAAGCATTTGACCACACCAGCAAAATGCGAACGTGTTGTCACAATTAAAGCGTCACACCCCGGCTATCGCACACGGTCATACCCGGTGATCTTTGCCAACTATTGCACTTCGTCGTCGCATTGCCATTCTTCTAGCTCTGTTCCACAAGTTGTATTACAGCTCACGTGACCATCCGGACTTCACCACCCCTCCAGACCGCACATCTCGTCACACCGGTCATGCTTTGAAAGTCACCCGTCCACGCAGACACCAAGACATTTTTCTGCCTACTTCTTTCCCACGGTCATCATCTCAATGTAACGACCTTCCCACAGCATCGCCATCATTACCCGCCCCACTTTATTTGGCAAAGTGTAAAAGTGCTGTCTCACAAATAACATATGTCGTAACAATTTTTTAAAATATATCAACATCCAGCGCTAATGTAACACCCCCTACGGGGGTCCTTAAGGTAATAAAATGAAATGAAATTGTCCTGTTGGTGTTTACTGGAGATTGAGGTCTCTTAAATGCTTTGTTTTTTCAATTTGCCGATCACTCCTGGCTACTGACTCCTGCAAGGAATTCTGATATTGCTCGATGTATAAAGGCGAGGAGACTCTACCAATATCGTAACTAGACCATTCGAGACGGCTAGGTAAAGGGCCTCAACCTCAACCTGTGTAATACATTTGTAGGTAGAGGGCCTGAACCTCACTATTAAGTTGGCATGCTGGTGAGCGCGTATCGTCTGGACTTACGATGCCAGTTTAAAGTATATTGTTGTGCAGTTGACGCTACAACTACAGATGTAAACTGTGCCTTTTGTAGTGGCTTCTTTTTTTTCGTTTTATGCAGCAACTAACGTAAAGCATTGCCATTCTCTTAATACTGATACTACTTCAGGTCGTGACGCTCCTGAACAGAAGAAAAAAGAACAAAGTATAACTTTTTCTTTGTTATTTTTTAGATATGCCACGTTGGTTCCTATACTGTGAAAAGTGCGTGCAAATCTCCTTCAGACGTGGCCAGCTTCTGCAGTAATTTATGTCTGACTGTAGAGCGCGAATTCATATGGTAAAAAGTCTCCCGCTTGGCATCCATGCGAACAGTGATATCCACAACATCTTTCGCACGGAAAATCCTTTACTTGCTGCACGGCCCTTGACTCCTCTCCGTGCTGCCAGATCACGCTATACACTGTATAAGCCCTGTTTTGCCACCACCGCCTCACTAAATCACCACGCAACACGTGGAAATTAATTCGAGGTCCCACATTGCGGAGCGCCTCGTAATCTTAACGTAATTTTGGCACTTAAAACCCGAGCAAATAATATTAGATATAGTCCGCACGTTGTTATGTGCCCTAGCTATTTCATGAAAAAGAAAGGTTGAATTGAAAATTAGATTGATATAGGCCTCTAACTATAGTAAAGCTTTGCTACATTCGTGATCATCGTTGCCTTGTTAACCAGCCTTCTTTCCCCCCTATTATCTCCCAAGACGACTGCTGCCCCTGTGTCACAGAGCCCAAGCTGTCACTCTCGGACTTTTTCAAAGAAGCATTAGCCGCGAGTCCTGCAGCACAGCACACAATGTGACCCTAACTGTCCCCGAGCATGGACTGCCCCCTGTGGTGGTGGTGAAGCTGACTTTGAGACTGTCCTATGGGTCTGCGCCTATGCCGGTCCACCTTCTCCCAAGGAAAATGAACCTGATTAAGGCCCAGCACAAAACCTTCCAAATTCTCGCCGTCCAAAGGGCCCGAGCGAGAGACGTCAGGTGGAGGAAGGGAAGAAATGAAAGACAGGGAGGTCCACTAGATGCACGTCCGGTTTGCTACCCTGTACTAAGCGAAGGAGTGAGGGAATTAAAAGAGACGAAAGAGAGGAGAGGTGAAGGGCTCTGTGTCGGTACATGTGGCTTTGTCCATTGCATGCTTATAAGCGGTCACGTAGTTTCACCTGTTGGTCCCCGAGCGGGCCTAACCAGCTTAAATAAAGCTTACTAGCGTCCATTGGGGTCTTAACAAAGTTGCTCCACTCACTCACTCACTCACTCACTCTCATTTCAGGAATTTGAGCAAGCAATGCGGATCAAATTTGTAGAAGGATGTCAAATAAATGCACGCAATCATGTTTGTTGCGTGGACGGCAGCAATGAATTCTCAAACGTGTTGTCCGTTCCAGTGATTGAAGTAATCTGGAATGGTGTGGTTTAGCGTGACCTCCTTGAACAGCCTGCACCGAGTGTTTTCTTTATTACCACTGCGTATACATGAAAGAGTTCGTGCTTACGCCACAGGTCCCGGACACCTAGGGCACTTTCTAGTTTTGTCGTTTAATGATTGAAGTGCTTGCGACAGCAATTATAAACTCCCCCCCCCCTACTGCCCGAAGCTTTTGGGGACAAACTTTTTTTCCTAGAATGGTCTGGAATGATTGTGGCACAAATTTGTCAAGCGCTTTTTTTTTTTAAAGTAATAACGGCAGCCGTTTGACTCCAGTGCAGGAGATCTCATTTCAATACAAAACGCATTTTATTCTTTGTCGTAATGTTCTAGCTTTTCTATGTGAAATATGTCTGCGTTTCATGTCAGTTTTGCCATGTATTTATTCTCAGTCCAGTTGGCGAACACAACAATTATCACGACTGCAACGACACTGGAGAGAAAGACGAGATAACGCACGCCTGACTATGCCTACAGACCCCCGAATAAATTGGGTCGACTGTCCAGCCTATACTGCCATACAAGCGCATAGCGAAACTAGAATATATAGAGAGAGGAAAAGACAAGAGGGAGAGAGAAAGCCTGAGTCTAATACTTAGCCCTGGGTTGGGGCAGTGTATAGGCTATCAGTAGCGTTGCCAGAACTGTATAGATGCACAACATAGATGCACAATGACGAATGACTCAACAACAATAGATCGGCCAAGAACCTCGCTTACTAAGAGCTCTTACACGTCATCTCAAAACAAAACAGACAAACTTTGCGCAGTCGTTTGAGAGCAAGGTAGTTGTATTTGTGCATCTGCAGCGCATCGCTATACACTTCAGTATGTCATCCACCAAACTGCAGTGGAAGCTCTTTTAAACGTTGTCACAATTCTTTTGGGGGGAGGGGGAGTGGAAGTAAAAAGACATTGACCCCCCCCCCCACCCCTGGATAGGACAGTGATACCTGTAGTCGGGCACTATATGTGGCCTATTTTCAAGCAGTGAAGAAGTGTCCGCATGGTTGCCCTCAAGGCTGATGAACTCTGCTCAATATGTTTTCTTTAGTAAAATTCCAATCATCAGGTATACAGGAAAGTCCGGTGCTCTTCAAAATGATTTATCACTCAATGAATGAATGCATGAATGAATGAATCACTCAATCAATCAATCAGTCAATCAATCAGTCAACTATATTTGTGTCTATTTAACAAGCAGACAGAGGAGCGGCGACTAAAAGCTATCTTCAGACAGCTTCACGAGCCCGCTGCCCCCATTCACAAGGGCTCACGGCAGCACAGCGATAGCTAGATTTACATATAAATGAAAAAAAAATCAGAGAGAAAAATTTACATCAATGTAAGGAAGAAAACGAAATATCATTTAGAAACAACAGATTTGAACACTAGAAAAACCAAAAACACAAAAAACAAAACTGTGAGAAAATATTCAAAATAAAAGAAACAAAC